AATTTAAATTAAATAAAAATATTTAAATTTATTTGTTTGTATTTTATTTATATTTTTTTTTTTTTTTTTTTTTTTAGCATCCTGTCTTATTAACTGAAGCTCCCTTAAATCCTCAAAAAAATAAAGAGAAAATTGCTGAGGTTTTTTTTGAATCATTTAATGTTCCAGCTTTATTTATTTCCATTCAAGCTATCCTTTCTCTATACTCCTGTGGAAAAACTAATGGAACTGTTTTAGATTGTGGAGATGGAGTTTGTCATTGTGTTTCAATTTATGAAGGTAAAAAGAGAAGAAAATATATTGAACAAAATATATATATATATATACATATATGTAAATAAAAAAGAAAATTATATATAAATATTATTAGTAAAATTATATTATTTTTTTTATTTTTTCATATTTTTATTAAAGGATATAGTATAACTAATACAATAACAAGAACAGATGTTGCTGGAAGAGATATCACAACTTACTTAGGATATTTATTAAGAAAAAATGGACATTTATTTAATACTTCAGCTGAAATGGAAATAGTAAAAAATATGAAAGAAAATTGTTGTTATGTTTCTTTTAATATGAATAAAGAAAAAACTTCCTCTGAAAAATCTATTACCACTTTACCATATATCCTTCCTGATGGATCACAAATATTGGTTAATATATAAAAACAAAATATTTTTTAAAAATTATTTCTAAACCATTTTATTTTTTATTTTTTTTTTTTATTAATAGATTGGATCTGAAAGATATAGAGCACCAGAAGTTTTATTTAATCCATCTATTTTAGGATTAGAATATTTAGGTAAGATAATAATTAAAAATTTTTAATACAAATTTTATATATACTTATATATATATATATATACAGGATTATCTGAACTAATAGTAACATCAATAACAAGAGCTGATATGGATTTAAGAAAAACTTTATATTCTCATATAGTTTTATCAGGAGGAACAACCTTATTTCATGGTAATTTCTAATTATAATATATATTTAATTTTTACAATTTTATTTTCAATATACAAAATAATAATATTATTTTTATTCCTATATTTTTAAAAATAATATATTTTTTTTTAATTATCTTGATATTTTAGGTTTTGGTGATAGATTATTAAATGAAATCAGAAAATTCGCTCCTAAAGATATAACAGTATTATTATATATACTATTTTATTTATATATTATATATTATATATATATTATATATATATTGATATATTTCATTTTATATTTGAACAGATAAGAATTAGTGCACCACCGGAAAGAAAGTTTAGCACTTTTATAGGAGGATCAATTTTAGCTTCTTTGGCTACTTTTAAAAAAATTTGGATATCTAAACAAGTTAATTAAAATATAAAATAATAATAGATTATATAATAAAGTTTTATAAAAAATATAATTAACAAATATGTATTAATATTAATAAAAAAAAAAAAATAAATATAATGAACCTAAATCTATATTTATTCATCTATATTTTTATAGGAATTTGATGAGTATGGTTCCGTTATTCTACACAAAAAAACATTTTAATTTTTTTTTTTTTTTTTAATAAGATTATCTATCAAAAAATTTTTTTTTTTTTTTTTTTTTTTTTTNNTAAAAAAAAAAAAAAAAAAAAAAAAAAAAAAGAAAAAGGAAAAATGCAAAGCATTTACATTGATACATAAACAAAATTATTTTGAATAAAAATATTTTATAGACAAATATTTAAAATATAAATATAATGAAATTTAAAAAAAAACTTATGAAGCTATTTTTTTTTTTTTTTTTTTTTTTTTTTTTTTTTTTTTTTTTTTTTTTTTATATTTTTATGTTAGAATATAAATATAACTAGTATATATTCTGTTAGTTTACGCCTTTTTCTATCTTTTATTTTTTAGTAATTTTTTCAGTAGTTTATTTTATCATTAAAGTTTTTTTTCTTTTTTTTTTTTTTATTATAAATTTTTTTCTAATTTATAAACATCATTTAAAATAAAAAAAAAATAAAATAAATAAAATTAAAAAAAAAAAAATAAAATAAATATATAAAAAAAAATTGTTATTTAATTAATTATAAATTTGTTCTCTATATTTTTTATGTTATATGTTTTTCCAGTTTTGCATTCTATAAATGTGTAAAAAAGAAAAGAAATAATATAAGAATAAATGATAAGTTATATTGAAAATTTACTACCTTTTAATAATTGTAATTTAATTAAACGAAATTTTTTTGCATATTCATTTTTTTGGTCTAAAATTAAAAAAATTTAATATTTTTTTTATTTTATATATTTTTAATAATTTATTTTATATTTACCATTAGGAAGCTCTTTCAACTTTTCATGAATAATTTTATTAATAGTCAAATTAACAATCTGCATTAAAAAAAAAAAAAAAGTTTTAATTAATGAAACGCGATTATAATATATATTTTTTTTTTTTTTGTATAGAGAATATAGTTGAAAATACATCTAGATAGTTTAATTCTATTTTTGGCTTATGTTGTTCTTTTATAGATATCAATTTTTTTTCTTTTGTATCCTTGAAATAATTAGAATATTTATATATAAAAAATAGAACTTCTAAAAACTTTTTAAAAAAAAAAAAAAAAGTATATATTAATAAGTTTAAAATTTTTCAATGATTTTAGATAAAGATTATAAAAATATATATATTACTTTTTTCTTTTTAAAAGAATTAACTTCTAAGGATAAAATTTTCATTTGCCATTTGTAATTTCCTTTAATAACATTAATCGTTTTTAACAAATTTTTACATTTGTATTCTTTTAGTCTAATTGCATATTTTCTATGATATTTATGATTTTTTATAATTGTCTTATCAGATATATATTTAAATTTTTTCCTATTCTTATTTCTACTTAAACATGTTTTAAGAGGAGTATTCATAAAAATTTGTATATAATTGTAATAATCTAATGAAAAAAAAAAAAAAAAAAAAAAAAAAAAAAANTAAAAAAAAAAAAAAAAAAAAAAAAAAAAAGTAAATATGCATACACATATTTGTGTATTTTAGGTTCTAATTTTAGGTTTTTTTTAAAAAAAAAAAAAATTACATTTTTTCGATAATATATAATACTGTTTTCTCATCGATGGAAAATGAAAGGTATCATTTAAGATAATTATTTTACTTTCAAGTTTTTCATTACAATAATTATTTTTTTTTTTTTTATTATCTTTTATATAATTTTTATTATTTATTTTCATTAAATTCATACAATATTCATAAGCAATTGTTCTTGCTGTTTTCCAGTTTTTTGATTGATTAATTAATGTTACTTTTTTTTTTTTTTTTTTTTTATTTATAACAAACTGTTCATTCTTAATATTTGTTTTTTTAATAAACAAATAATAAGAATTATTTATTTTTTTTGAGAAAATTATATATTTTTTATTTAATGTATATATGTATTTCCTATTAGTTATGTTAAATTTAAAAGTGTCTTTTTCTAAATTATGGTAAAATTGTTTTTCAATAAAATCAGTTGATATGTTATAAATACAAAACTTATTTTTTTCTAAAAATTTTTTAAAATATATTTTCCATTTTACTATTTCTTTATAAAAAACAAAAAATATTTTAGAATTCTTAAAATAATTAAATAATTTTTGGCGTTTTTTAATTCTCCACTTTTTAATTGTGTACTTTTCATATTTATTATTATTCTTAAAGTTTTTTTTTTTTTTTAGGTGAATTAATTTCATATATTTATAAGAATAAAAATACTTATTTTTTATAATAATACTAAAATGCCTTATCAAATATATTAAAAAGTTAAAAGAAATTCTCAATTCATTTTTTTCTTTATAAACTAATTTATATCTAAAATTATTTATCTTATAAAAATATTTAATTAATTTTACGAAGAATATTTTCTCTTTTATATATTTATGAGAGTTGTCCTTTGTTAAATTCACAAAAAAATAGAGAAATAAAAGAATTTTTTTTTTTTTTTTTAATAAAAAATTTATGAAGGTATCTTTTCCACTACAAGGATTACCGTAAAATAGTAATATGCAATTCATTTTTTCAAATAAAAAAAATGAAATATCTAAAATAAAAGATAAAACAAATTAGAGAAAAAATAACCATAAAAAAATAAAGAAATAGTAATTTTATAATGTAAAAAAAGAAAATATTAATAATTATAATAAAAAAAATATATAAACAACAATAAATGAAAAAGTAACAAATTTAAGATAAAATATTTTAAAAAAAAAAAAAATAATAATAATAATAATAATAAATAAAATTTTAAATAAATAAAAATAACAAAAAAAAAAAAAAAAATAAAAATAAAAATAAGTAAATAAGACTTCAATTAATTTAACAAATGATAATTTTATTCTTATATAATTAATTCATAAAAAAATTAAATAAAATTTTTTGTTATTTTCACTTTTTTTTTAAAGTAAATATATTATTCATATAGCAATCTATATCAAAAACATTTATATTTAATTTATTGAAAATTTCTTTATAATATTTTCTTTTATATTTTTTTTCAAAAATATTTATTATTGTTCCTTTATTATTTATTCTTCCTATTCTTCCACATCTATGGGCATATTCTGTTAAATCTAAAATAAAATGTATATATATTTATAAATATATATATAAATATAATTAAATTTTATTAATAGTATTTTGCATTATTTATATATATATATATGTATTTTTTTTTTTATTATTTTTTTAAAAATTACTTGAAGGCATATCGAAATTAACAACAGTCGTAAATCCTACACAATTTATTCCTCTATATAATATATTTGTTGATATAAATAAAAAGTTTACATATTTTTTTAAATTCTTATAATCTATTAAATTATTTTTAAAAAAGTTTGCATAATTAATATCTTTGAAAATCTTTTTTTTTCTTTTTTTTTCTTTTTCATTTTCTTTATGACCAAAAATTGTCTGAATATCTACATCAAAACGATTTCTAAATAAACTCTTCAAATCCATAACCCTTTTCTGTAAAAAAAAAAAAAAAAAATTGAAAAATATATAAACATAAAAAAAAAAGTTTCTAATATTAAAAATAATGAATAAGTAAAAAATATCATTCTAAAAATTGTATTAAATTACTTTAGTATTACAAAAGACTAAAACATTTTTATTCAATGGGTTTGAAAACAATATTTTTAGGAAATTAAAAATTGCATTATTTTTTTTTTTTTTATCCTTTGTATCATAATAATAATTCAAATGTATTAAATTTTCTGGAATTTTAACTACATCGTTTATTTTAAATAACTCATTTAACGTATTTTTTTCCAATTCGTAATTACCAAAAGATATATATTTTTTTAAATCTTCATTTTTTTTCTCTATATCTTTATTTTCATTTATTAATTCATTTTTATTTTTAGTATTTATTTCCTCATTAACTTTTTCATTTATAATTAAGTTATTTTGTAGATTATCGTTTTCTAAAATATTTTTATTAATTTTATATCTTAAATTTTGTAAAAAATTTGTTGTAATTATATGTTTCGTATAAGTTAGATAGGAATAAACTGCAGAAGTAGCGCTACAACATATTACATTAGTATATGAAATTTTTTTTTTATTATATATTTTGTTTTCTTCTTTATTATTTAAATAAATACTTTTTAATAATTTAGAAAAATATGGATTTTCTAGTTTTATTTTTTGGTCACTACTTTTGCTATCACTAGTTTTAAAAGAATTAAAAAAAAAATCGTATTCATCAAATATAACTGTAGAAATATTTTTTAATTTTATGATTTTTTTTTCATTTATTAATTTATCTAGTCTTCCTGGTGTACCTATATATATATTAATATTTTGTAATTTATCAGAAGACTTATTGTTGTTATCACAATTATTACTATTTCCATCAGAGCATTTATTGATATTATTATCACTATTACAGTTATCAGTACTATCTAAGTTTTCATTGATGATATTTATTTTTTTTTTTTTTAAACTTTTTAATTGATATTTTATATTATTTCCACCAATTAATAGGTATACATTAATATTAATTTTTTTTTTAAAATTTACATTTATTTTTTCAATGAGAGATTTTTCTTCTTCTTCCAATGAATTTGAAAAGATTAATGAATCGTTATTTTTAAAAAAATCTGAATTAAAAGATTTATAAAAAGAGTTAATTATATCTTTATGTAACTCATAAATTTGCACAGCTAGTTCTTTATTATAGGTGAGAATTAAAATGTCATTTTTTTTTTTAATTTTTAAATCATTTATATTGTTATCATTCCATATATGTTCTTTATGATTGTCATTTTTTATCTCATTTTTTAAACTATCATCTTCATTTATTACTTTTTTTTTTTTCTTCTTCTTATTAATTAAGTAATCTAAAATATTATTTATCTTTTGCATATTATAATCAATAAAAAAATTTTCTTTTAATTTATCTATACAAAAAAAGGAAGTAAAGTTTTCATTAATATTTTTATTTTCATAGAATATCTTCTTTTGATCAAATAAAATGTTTTTTACATATTTATCATTTTTAATTAAATTTAGCATTTCATATTCTAAAAAATTAAAATTAGAAATACACTGAAAAATTGGTAATAAATATATGAGTGTTTTTCCTGTTCCTGTAGGACAATGTAGAAAAAATGTTCTTATAAGTTTTTTGCTCAAATCGTTATATTTATTTACATAAATTATTTGTTCTATTTTATTGTCATAATTTATATCATTAGTTATATTATTATCTTTTACTTTGTCTTCTATCACATCTTTTTTATCTTCTTCTTTTATTTCTTTTTCTTTTTTTATATTCTCATAAACTATTTCCTCATTTTTTATAATATAATTATCTTTATTTCTTATTTGTAAAAAATTTGAATCACTATTTTTATTACAGAAAAAATTAGTATTTTTCATAGCTGATAATTTCTTATATTTTAAATATCCTAAACAATTTTGTAAATCGTAATAAATATTATTAATAAAAAAAAGAATCAAAGGAATATATCTTTTTTGATATTTCGTGGTTGTTTTTATTTCATTATATTTTAAGTAAACATTAATAAAATTATCAAAAATTCCTACATCTTTAAAATAAAAATTTTCGTTATTACTTGTTGTTTTTTTTTTTTCTGCAAATTTATTTGCATTTAAGTCTATGATGCTATCAAATTTAATTAATTTGCTTTTTATATTGTTATATTCTTTATTTTGATTATCTGAAATTGTAATTTCTCTTCTAAAATTATCAATAGAGTCCCCAATTTTTAGAATATTTTGTATATCTATATTACTTTTATTTTTTTCATCATTTATTTTTTCTTCAGTTGATATTTTGGCATCCTTATTTTCATCTCCTAATTTTTCTTTATTAATTTTTCCATTTTTTTTTTCATTATTTATTTTATCTTCCTTTATTTTTTCAGACTCATTTTTGTTTATCAAATTGTGACTTACTTTTTCTTCGTTGATTTTTCTTTTTTCCTCATTACCCATTTTTTCAATATTTTCATTTTTTTTTAAATGAATATTAATACGATCTAATTTTATCTCTTTTTTATTATTATTCGTAATATTCGTTTTTAAATTATTTTCTTTTTTTCCTTTATTAACCAATGGATAATCATTTTTTAGAAAATTTCTATCTTGTTCTAAATCTTTATTTTTTTTCTCTAAATTTATTTTATTAGTATGATTTAAATTTTTAAAATTAGAATAATTTTTACTTTTTATTTTTTTTTTTTCCTCCTTTTTTTTATTTATATTATTATCATTCTTGTTATTTTCAAATCTAAATTTTTCATAACTATTTTTTTTACTAATATTTGTAAGTTTTTTTTTTTTTTTTTCATTGAGGTCATCATTATCACTAATATCATCAATAAATATTTTTTTTTTTGGGGGGGTGGGAAGTTTCACATTTTTTGGACGATTTTTTCCTAAAACTTTTTGAAGAATTTCGTTTTTTAAAACATTATTTTTTAAATTTTCATTTTCTTTATATATTTCATATTTTTTTGTTCTTTTGTTTAGTTTTTCAATGGAATAATTTAGGTTATTTTGAAACATATTCAAAATTTTTTCTTCTTTTTTAATTTTTTTCTTTTTTTTCTTAAGCTTTTTTCGATTTATGTACTTTTTTTTCTTCGTCATTTTTCTTTTTACTTTTTTTTCCTCATTTTTATCTTCAGTTGTATTTAGTTCTTTGTCTTTTTCAACTTTATTATAGATCCGTTTAAATGATTTACTGTAATATTTTTTTTTAAAAGATTTGTTACTATTCTTCTTTGATTTTATTTCATTTTGATTCTTTTTTTCTTCTGTTTTATCATATTCATTTTTTTTTTTAAGTTTACCTTTTTCAAAATGCTCATCATATATTTTCTTACCTTTTAAATGTATTTTTTTTTTATCTGTTAAATTAACATAATACGATTTAGATAAATTTGTTTTTAAAAAAGCTATAGAACTTAATTTAGAATTAATAATTAATGAATTAGTTGTAAAAAACTTAAAAAAAAAAAGAAAAAAACAGAATAAAAAAAAAAGAAAATGGAAGTACATTTATAACAAAAAGATATTCCTAAAATAAAGAAAAACAAGAATATATGTTTTTACATATATAAGAAAAATATAAAAATAAAATCAAAATCTATGCACCTATAATAAAATAAAAATAAGAAAAAAAAAATAATTTATAAATTATGATAAAAAAAAAAAAAAAAATTAAAAAAAAAAAAGTTTTTATAATTAAATATATAAAAATAAAAAAAAAAAAAAAAAAAAAAAAAAAAAATACAAAAAGAAATAATAAAAATATACATTTTTAAAAAGTATAAAAATTTGTAGAATAAGTATTCTTAAAAAAAAAAAAAAAAGTTAAAATCATTAAGATTTAAAACAAAATATGTATTTATTCATTTCATATAATTTCATTTAGTTTTTTTTATAAGTTTAGTAATATTTAAAGTGATTAAACACAATTAATGAATGTTGATTTAACCCACATTTATATTTATATTTATAATTTAAAAAAGAAAAATAGAATATTAGAAAATTTAATAAATTTTGGTCTAAATGTATTATTAAGGAAACTATTTCTTTTAAGTTTTTTATTTTTAATAAACATGATATGTAGTATAATGGTTGAATAAGTAAAACATCTTTAACATTTTCTTTTAAAAAAATATTATCTAATATTTGCTTTTCTGTAATATTTTCCCCATTTAAAAAAAAATTTATTCTATCCTTTATGATTATTAAATTCTCTATACCTTTTTTTATCTAATAAAATATTTAAATAAATAATTTGTGTAAATGTATATATGTGTATATAATGAAAATAAAAAAAAAAAAAAAAAAAATTAATTTTACCTTTGAAATATTATTAAGATATAAATTACAAATGATATTTAAAGATATTTTTTTAATTTTCTCATTAATTGTTTTATTTAAACATTTTAAACAAAAAAAAAGAATATCTGGATGTGTTTGCTCAAAATATTTTTCTTCTTTTGAAATATTTAAAAAGAATATCATTACATTAAATAAAAATCTAAAATTAAAAATTAATTAAAAAAAAAAAAAAAAATTTGTTTCACAATAGTTTATCTAATATGTTTTTAAAAATTAAAAGAAAATATGTTACTTGTACTCGTAGGTTTGTTCTGATATCTCATTTTTTACTTCAAAACTTTTTAATTTGTCAAATATCTGAGGGATTATATCACTTAAAATTCTAGAAAAATAAATATAGAAGGAAAAAAAAATTAGTAGAATTATTTCATTTTAATGTTTTTTTTTTTTTTTTTTTTTTTTTATGTAGAAACAAAAATAACATTAAAATATTTTTAATATAAATATTTAAAATTTTACCTATCAAAGGAATATTTATCATCAATTGTTATTATATAATTTATTATATTTAAAGCAACTATATTATTCATATATGTATTATTAGAAAAGTTTATCTTTATATATCCCCATATCTATAAATAAAAGCAGTATTTTTTTTTTTTCATAATTATTAATTTTTTTTTTTTTTTCTTTTTTTTTTTTTGTATTACTTGATGAATTTTAGGATATAATTCAAAAAGGCGAGTTGAAAAAACAAAAAGACACCGTAATATACAAAGGTATGAATTAAATCTTATATATATACTAAATAAAAAATAAAGTAAAAATATAATTAATAAAATTTTTATTTAAATATGAACAAATATATTTTTTTTTATATAAACATATTTTATTTATTTTATTTATTTTATTTATTTTTTTTATTTTATTTATTTTATTTATTTTATTTATTTTATTTATTTTTTTTATTTTATTTATTTTATTTATTTTTTATTTATTTTTTATTTATTTACTTTTCTTGGCATAAAAATCGTTTTGAAAAATTAAAAATATGAGAAACTGTATATCTAATATTTGCATAATATGTTAAATCTTTATAATTTATATTTTCAAAATATTTATTATCATATAAATTATTTTTATATTGATTTTCATTATTATCTTTTTTTTTTTTTTTTTTTTTATTCTCTTCATCATTTATATCATAAAAATCATCATCTATTAAGACATTAACAATACTTTTACATTTTATATTTTTTTTTATTTCTCTTATGATATTTTTCATATCTTCTTTTATAATTTTCGAATACTCATTTTTTAAGTTATTATTTGAAATTATATTAAAGTAATCTAAGCCAAAAATGTTATCATAAAATTTAAAGAAAAAGAAATTATACAAAAATAATTTTTTTTTTTTTTTTTTTACATCTTTATGAACTATGGAAGAATAACATTCATTATTAAATTTATAACACTTTTCAAATAAATTATTATCATTAGTTTTTTCATTTTTATTTATTTTATTTCCGTTTATATGTTCATAAAAATTTTTGTTTAAAATTTCTTTATTTTCTTCATTCATTAATACTTTTTCTAGAGTGTCTTTTTTTTTTTTATCAAAATTTTGTTTATTCTGTTTATCATATTGTTCGTTTAAATCTTTTAAATTATTAAAATTTATGTAAACAAAACCTTGAAACAACAAATTTTTTATAATAATAAAATAATTATTTTCATTGCATATTTGAATTCTTTTATTAATGATATATTTGTAAAATATATATAATATACAGTTAAAAATATTAAGAATATTTATAATAATTTCATTTTTATTTTCATACGATAAGTAAGAAAAATTCAATTTTTTTGTATATTTGATTAAATTTAGGCAAATATCTTTATAAATATATGTATGATAATTATAAATAGCTAAAAATTTAGTTATGTTTAGAATTTTATTACAACTATTAAATGAATCAATATTTATTATTTTTTTATATATATAAGATGCTATAATGTCATTATATATCTTGATTATATTTGATATATTATATTTATCTTTTTTATTTTCTTCATTAATACATATATATGTCTTTTCTATATTCCCATCACATCTAGTAAAACTGCCATTCTTTTTGTTTTCTTTTGATTCACTTAAATAATAATGAATATTTAATAAAGTATATTTAGACAATTCTTTAACATATGAAGAAGAACTGTTTATATTAAACATTAAGAAAGTCAGAATTTTGTAGAAATATTTTTCTAATAAATCATCATACATACATAAAAACAACACACAAAAACATTTATTTAAACATATCATTAATAAAGATATATAATAATAAATGTAAACGTTATCTTTTTTTACTTCTCTCCTTAATTTTATTTCATCCTTTTTTACATTATTGGAAGTTAAAAATAAAATTATTTTTTCTAACATTTTTTTTATATTTATATTAAAATTTAGAAATTTTATTTTTATTGCTAAAGAGAAAAATATATTAAAGACATTTGAATATTCTCTTAAAACATTTTTTAATAAATCGTTTTGCAAAATTTTTTCGTAATAATTATTAATATTTATTAAATTAATGTTTGTATTTATATTTTGACTTTGTAGATTATCTTTTTTTTTTTTTATCATCAATTTAAAATGTACATATAATATTATGATAATAGAATCTAAATAAAAATTAATGAAATGTAAACATTTATATTTATCTTCTAATTTATATGATTCTTCTTTTCTTTCTTCTATATCATTTCTTTTATATATTTCATCAGTTATTTCTTTTTTATCTATAGTGTTTTTTTTTAATTTTTCTATTTTCTCTTTTTTTTCCTTAATCTCTTTCTTATGGTTATCATTACATATATTTGATTCTTTTGAATCAGTAAAATAATATATATCTTCCCACCATTTATTTTTTAAAACAAAATTATCTTTTTCTATTTTTTTTTCTATTAAACTTTCATTACAATACCATCTAGAAAACAATATTTCATCTAAATAGTTATTTATCTCATTTTCATCAGTGAAAAGAAAAAAAAAAATACTTACACCGTTAATTAGACTACAAAAAAAAAAAAAAAAAAAAAAAAAAAAAAAAAAAGCAAAAAAAAATAAATTCAAATGTATAAATAAAAAATTATTATGCATATATACAGTTTATTATAAAAAAGAATTATAATTATTTTACTTTTATAATTTTATTAACCTAATATTTTGAAATTTAAATCCATCTTTTATATTTTGAAATTTATGAAAATTTATTTCTTCTTCTATATTATCAGTTATAAAATGATTATCTTGTTCATTTTTATTTTCATATATATTTAAAGAATAAAGAGTATTGTCTTCACTTAGTAAGTTATAATTAGAAAAAGATAAATTATTTTGATTTTTTACACAAGAAAAATCAGATATTTCATATAAGTGTAATATATAATCTAAAAGATTAAACTTTTTTTGAAATAAAAATTTATTAATCTGTTTATTAATAAAATTGTAATAAAAAAAACCCCTTAAAAAATTTAGAAGAAAAGTATTATCTTGCTTTTGGAATAAAAAAATATTATACAAATATTTAAAATAATAATCTCCTATATTATGATTTAAATTTTCAATAGAATAATTAGATATATTATTTAAAGAACAATTATTTTCTTCAGTTTTTAATAACTTAATTAAATTAAAAAATATAGAATAAAGGTCTTTATAAAAATAAGTATTTTTATAAATTAAATCATACCTTTTCTTAGTATCAAATATCTCATCACAATTTTCAAATTTCTTATTTTTAAAATTAATTAAGTTAGATGAATTTTTATTATTTAAAATTCTAATTATTTCATCTAAATCTTCTATATATATATTATTTAATTCAAAAAATTCTATTATATTTTTGTTAAATAAAAAATAAATATGTGTAAAAAAATTGTCATCGTCATATAACATTTGAGATAAGATAAAAAAAAAACTCATTAAAACTAAATTTTTATTTAAAAGATAAAAATATTTAATAATAATTTTGCATAAATTAAAAATTTCTTTAATGTTATCATCGTAATTAATCAAAATATAATAACTTATAAAATAAATATTTGAGATAATTTTTTTGTTTTCATCTATTTCTATATTTTCTTTTTCATCATGAATTTCATCAATTTTTACCTTTTTTTTTTCATCATGAATTTCATCAATTTTTACCTCTTTTTTTTCATCATGAATTTCATCAATTTTTACCTCTTTTTTTTCATCTTGAATTTTATTAATATATACTTTTTTGTCTGAATTAATATTTTCATTTTTCTCCTCTTGTGTATTAGGTTTTTCTTTTTCTTCATTTTCAGTAAAATACATTTTGGTTAAAGAATTTTCTTTTAAAAATGTAAAATAATTTTTATAATTTTTATAATTTTCGTTATTTAAGTAAACCTTATTAATATCTATCCATTCATTTTTTAGATATAATATGGTAAAATTATTTTGAATACAAGAATAATGCATTAATATTTTATCAAAGCATAAATAAAATATTTTTATAATAAAACTTCTTAAATTTTTTATATCACAACTTTTATATAGAATAAAAAGATTTAGACTAACTCCTTTAAATAATTTTTTAATAATGAAAACATTTTCTATTTTCTGATGAATTGTATACAATAATTTTAAACTTTTCAATTTTATTTTTTTATTTTTATTTATTATATTTTCTAAAATAATTTTTATAACATTAACTAAACATGAAAATAAATCGTAATCTTTATTGGAGTCATAACATTCTACATTTTTATCTATATTTATTAAATCATATTCATTTATATTTTCAAATATATTGAATGGACATACATATATAAACAAATTTTTAATATATTTTATTATTATAATGTTTAGTTCTTCACTGAAAATTGTCAATTGTCCTTTATTTATAGAATTTTCTTTGTATTCTAATTCTAACAATAATGAAATATTATTTAAAAATCTAAAGAAAAATATTTTGTCTTTATTGTTTATTTTGTTAAAACAAAAAGTCAAAACTTTCAAAAAATATTCTATTACTAAATAGCTCTTAGGAATACTACACATATCATAATTTTTTATATAATCATTAATTTTATTTTCCAAAATAGAGTTTTTAAAAACAATAGAAACATTTTCATTTTTTAATATATAGATGTATATTTTTAATTTATTACATATAATTGAAGATATACTATAAAATATATTTTCTCTTTCATCAAATATTTTTAAATTACTTGATATTTTATTTTTTTTAATCAAATGATATATCTTTTTTGTATATATTAAATCATCATCAATACTATTTTTTTTTATAAATAAAATTAATGAACTTATTATATCATTTTGAGATTCCATTGCTACCTATTAAATATATTTTGAGAAAGGAAAGAATAAAAAAAAAAAAAAAAAAAAATTAAATAATATAGTTGTAACAATAATAAAAATGTGTTTATATAAAAATGTTTTTAATTAAAAATAAATTTTTAAATCATTTTATCTCCATTTTAAAAAAATTTTGTATTTTATTCCTGTATAAAATTATTCTTTATATTTTCTATAACATTCTTATTTTTTTTTTTTCCGTGTTTTTTTTTTTTTTTTTTTTTAAGACTATTAAATTCAATTTATTGTAATCATTAACATTATTTTTTTTTAAAAATACATAAGAATAATATATTATATTTCTTCGTTTAAAAAGTTTTTTTTTTTTTTTTTATCAATAGTTCCCAAATACCCCCCTCAAAAAAAAAGAAAAAAAAAGAATTACACTTCAATTTTATGTTTTGATATATATGAAAAGTAATATGAAGTTTATATCATAATGAATACAAAAAAAAAGAAAAAAAATTGAAATTAAAAATTCCAAAATATAAAACTATTTGAGATTTAGAAAATGTTATGAAAGCATTTAATTATATTTTGTCAAAATTTTTAATGAAAATGATTGAAAATTAATTTATTCTTCTATTAAAATTGTCTTTAAAATCTCAGATATAACTTAACATTTTTAAATTTCATAAATTTTTGGTATTAATTTTTTTTCACATATATATATTACGTAATAAATTAAAACTAAATTTTTTAAAAAAAAAGTGTTCCATAGTTATAAAGATTGTTTTATTATAAACTATTTAAAGAAGTTATAGAACATAAATTTTTTTTTTTTTAAAATCTTTGTATCCCTTTTTCTTATTTTAAATGACCTTAATCATGTGTACTATTTATTCTTCACGATAGTATTTAGTTGCTCTTATATTTGATTTTTTTTAAAAAAAATAATATATTTAGTTAAATATATAAAAAAAAATCCTTAAAATAGTTGTTCTTCATTTTTAGTTAGTACCTTTTTTTTTTTTTTTTTTATTTTTTATAAAGCTATAATATTAAGATTAAACAAATTAATTTTTAAAGGTTATTTTTTTATCTTATTAAAGAATTATATCTTTAAAAGAATATTATTAATATAATTGTTAAAATAAGCTAAAACATATTAGAAATATTAAAAGAAATATTTTATATTTAGTTTTTGTACTCTTTGTTTTAATGAATTTTTTTTTTTTTTTTTTTAACTTAGCAAAAAAGTGCACAAAGTAATAAAACAAAATTTTTTTTTCTTTTTTTTTTTTTTTTAATTTATATGTATATACAATATTTTTTAATTAAATTTTATAATTGTTATTTTTAATTATATATATGAAAAGAAATATTTTTTTTTAAAATTTCATAATTGTGATAAGGTCAAGTATATATATATATATTTTTTTTTTTTTTTTTTTTTTTATTTAAAATATAATGCTTATTAAAAATGAAGACGGTGGCAATAATCTTTATGATTTTACTTGTAATAAACCTAGCTCTATTTCTTTATTTCATTATATAAATATAGAAAATAATAAATTAAATAAAGAAATTGATGAAAATAAAAAGGAAAATGTTATTTTAAATAATGAAAATGAAAAGGAAAAACTAAACACAATAGAATGCGTAAAAAAATTAAAAGACAATTCAGAAAATTTTCTTCTCTCCAATGAAGAAAATATTCAAAAAAGTAATGCAGATAATTTAAATAGTAATGAAAATGTAAAAAATGTGTTAGAATTAATTTATCATGAATCCTATAAGTTAATTTATGAAGACACAAATATACATATAGAAATTCCATCAGTAATATATGATGAGAATAATAATTATAGTAGCAGTGAAAATAAAATAAATAATGTAAGAAAAATTGATAATTTAAGAGATTATTTAAATAATAATTTAAAGGATTGTGTTTTGAAAAATAAGAAATTGTTTTTTAAAAATATAAATTATATTACAGAACTACTGAATTATAATTTTTTTTCCATATATAAAAATGTGAATAATTCTAATGTAATTTTTTTTCATCATCATGATAATTTCATAAGTCATATTTTGAAAATTAAAAAAAAAAAATTACAAAATGTTAAAATTATCGAAGAGAAAAGTTTTAATAACAAAATTAATAATGATGAAAACATTTTTAATCCATCTGAAAAAGATGAACTTTCATTAAATAAAAATATTGATGAAAACAATTTCAGTGGTAATCATTTACATAAAGTGAAATTGTGTAAAGATTATCAAAAAGAATGTGATGAAATAAAAGTTGATAAAAATTTTCCAAAGGAAAATGACATATATGAAAAAAATATATTAAAAGAAAGAAATGAACAAGATAAAACAAGTAATAATTATTGTTGTATATATGAAAAAATAAAAAATATTTACTGTATATGTGAACCAGGAATTAATTACAAATATATATATCCACCAAATTATAAAATAGACAATATTAAAATTTTATATGTTCCCAAAACAAATATCTTATTTAATTCCAAATTTGAAAGTGCTAATTTGAAATATGCAATGAAGGAAAAAAATAAAGAAATCTATTCATTGTTTTTAAATCATGATATAAGGATGAATGAAAAAAAAAATCAATGGTTTTATTTTAGTGCTAGTTACGTTCCAGATGAATATTATAATGAAGAATTATATCAAAAAAAAAATAAGCAGAGGAATATGAATGAATTTTTTAATGAAATAAATAAAGATATTTATATTGATTGTGATAATATCAAATATTCTGTTGATTCTTGTGATAAATTTTCAGTATCTAATATCAGAAAGTTGGAAAAACCATTTACTGTTAGATTTAAAATAGTAAATATGTCAAAACCTTATTTTTTATATAGAGAAGGATATTCCCCTTTAATTTTTTCAGAGTGTAAAAATAAATTCGAAAATATTTATTGGGAGAGATGTGCATATGATGTGAAGTATATAAAAAATACTTCATCAAAATATTTTAATATAAAAAAAAACTGTTTTGAAAATTTAAATTACAACACTTATACATTAGAATTTAGTTATGATTTTACTTATTCTTACGATACTGTATATTTTTGTAGTTGTTATCCATATACTTATTCATATTTAACACAATATTTAAATTCTATAAAAGACTATTTAAAGAATAATAAAACTATTAATTATATAGAACAAACATTATGTAAAACTATTTGTGGCTTTAAATGCCCAATCCTAGTCATAACAAATTATGATAATATTAATAACACACAAGAAAAGGAAACAAAAGAAAATCAAAATATCTCAGAAGAAATAAATGATATAATTAATGAAATATCTGATAATAAAGTCGAAGAAAAAAATCATTTCAACAATAAACATATAAATACAATTAAAAATAGCAACTTCATTTCTAATCGTAAAAATGTAAAAACAGAAGAAGCAGATATATTTCAAAACGATGAATTCTTTTGCATTAAACGTTATACAGGTCAGAGGAATATAGAAAATGAAAAGGATAATAAAGTCTCTATCTCAATTAACAATGAACCATGTTTTTCAAATAATAATGATATTAATTTAAAAGATACAGGATTATATATTGGTACATGCTTTGATGATTTAAATAAAGTTAACAAAATGAATAAATCAGATGTAAATGAATATAAAGAAGAAAACTATGGTAATATTGATGATAATATAAGCAATAGTAATAAAATGATTCATTATAAGATATTTTATAATTTAAATGAAAATAATTCATATATGAATGAAAATGATAATAAAAATGATAATAAAAATGTTAATAAAAATGATAATAAAAATGATAATAAAAATGTTAATAAAAATGATAATAAAAATGTTAATAAAAATGATAATAAAAATGATAATAAAAATGTTAATAAAAATGTTAATAAAAATGATAATAAAAATGATAATAAAAATGATAATAAAAATGATAATAAAAATGATAATAAAAATGATAATAAAAATGATAATAAAAATGATAATACAAACATTGAAAATAATAATACCGAGAATTCATCAAATATAGTATTATCACAAAAAACAATAAATAAAAGTTCTGACATTTTTATGAATCAATTTTCTAGTTTATTAAAGAAGGATGTTATTTATGAAACAAAGAAAAACAAAACTAAAGGATCATTAAATTCAAATGGAATTTTAAATTTTCAAAAAAAAGATAAAAATATTATTTTTTTAACAGCACGTGTACATCCTGGAGAAACTAATTCAAGTTATGCAATGCATGGATTTATATCATTCATTATATCAGATAATATATATGCAAATATTTTACGTGATAATTTTATTTTTATTATAATACCAATGTTGAATATTGATGGTGTAGTGTTAGGTCATAATAGATATTGTTCTAATGGATTTGATTTAAACAGACAATGGAATAAACCGATATTTTATCTACATCCAACTATATATGCAGCAAAATCATTGATAAAAAAAATTAGTAAAAATAATAAAATTGTATTTTTTTGTGATTTTCATGGTCATTCAAGAAAATATAATTGCTTTTTATTTGGAAATTCAAATACAAATATATATTTAAAAAATAAAAAGTTTGCAGAAATATTTCCTGAAATAGTTGCAGAATCTTTACCATGGTTTTCTCTTAAAGATACAAAATTTAAAATTGAAAATGAAAATAGAGGGATAGCTAGATATATATGTGGATATGAATTTAATATTGATTGTAGTTATACATTAGAAATGTCTTTAATAGGAGTGAAAATAAGAAAAGATTTTAATTTTAAATCGAATGTCAATAAAGACTTTTTATTTACTATAAATAATGAAACATTCAAAAATAAAGAAAATAATGAAAATAAAGAAAATAAAGAAAATAAAGAAAATAGAGAAAATAAAGAAAATAAAGAAAATAAAGAAGATAGAGAAAATAAAGAAGATAGAGAAAATAAAGAAGATAGAGAAAATAAAGAAAATAAAGAAAATAAAGAAAATAAAGAAAATAAAGAAGATAGAGAAAATAAAGAAAATAAAGATATGATTCAATACAATTTAAAAAATTATATAATAAATGACAAAATAAAAAATGATAAAAAAATTCATAATAATTGGAATGATATTGAGGTAAATGAAAAGACAAATGATAACTTCAAGGAATCTGATAATAATTTCAGTCAAATAGAAAAAAAAAAAAATACAAAAATAAAAGTTGATTCAACTAAGGAAATTATTGAATCTCATAATAATTATGATATTTCTTTTTATAATAATAATCATTCTTTAAATGAAAATATTGAATGTAAAAAGTCAAAAAATTTAAATGATACAAATAAAATAGAAAATAACGCAAGTACAGTTGAAAATTATTATGATCCAACTGCATATGATTTCTTTTATTATGATGAAAATATGTTTTTAATGACTGGTATTAGCTTTGGTATTTCACTTTTCAAATTTATGAATTTTTCAGCATATTATGAATCTTCATTACATAAAATGGTTGATGAAAAAAAATTATTGAAGAGTTCATCAATGACAAGAAATATTAAAGGTACAAATAACAGTGATGAATTTGAAGGACTTAATAAAAACAAATCTAATAATTCTAATGGACTGAAAAAAATAAATCTTAAAAAGAAAACGAGATTAAAGAAAAAATATTTTGATAATTCATGTAATTTTAGTGATGCAAAAATTAATAAAAATAATTTACAAAATGTTGGTAATAATAATTTCTTTAATGATGTAAAACAATTGAATAATGATATTGAAGAAGTGGATAGAAAAAAAGAAGAATTAATAAATAATGAACAAAAATCTAATAATAATTATTTAAGTAATACTATGGAAAAAAATATTATTACTATTAATAATTATAGTAATAGTAATATATGTTCTAGTTATAATAAAAATGGTGATTTGTTTGTTGACAGTAATCATAATAATGTAGGTAAATTTATAAAAAGCTTAAATAGTTATACAAAAAAAGGAAAACAAATTGAACATAAAAAATTTGAGAACAAGAAAGAATATTTGAAAGATAATTACAAAAATATAAAAATTAATTTAAAAGGAAAAGAAGCAAATAACTTAAATATTATTAATAAAAAAAGAGATGAAGAGAAATTGCAAAGTATAAGGCACCATAGAATTAGGCACACTATCAATTCATTCACTGATATTGACAGGAAATATTTTTTGAATAAAAATTTAAATAGTACATATAACGTAAAAGATGATGAAAAGATAAAATTTTTTAGTAGAAATAAATTTAATTTTACCTTAAATTCAAATAATGTTTTTAAAAGAAAAATGAATGAATCAAATAAAGAGGAATATCAATATATTGACTCATTTTTATGCATTAGCGATAATAGTAACAACATTGATAATAATAAAAATAATGATTATAATAATAATATTAATAATAATAATATTAATAAGATAAGTAATAATAATAAAAATAATGATTATAATAATAATTATACCACTGCTGATAATAATAATAATAATAAAAAATATAATCTGCTTAATAAACAGATGAATCGTGAAAGTTTGTTAAATAATAATATATCTAGTAAAAATAATATATATCTTTTTGGATCGAAAAATTGCAAATTTATGATTAAAGAAAAAAAAAATAATAATAAGAGTAGATCTGCAACAGCAAAAAGCAAGAAGTGTATGAAGGATAAAGATATAGAAAAAAAAAAAAAAGTGGAAAAAAAAAGTGCATTTTTGTCTGATTCTTATTTAGATAGAACAAAAATGAAAGATACAGTTATTTTAAGTGAATACATTAATAATAAAAAAACTTTTATAAATTATGAGATTAAAAAAATAAAAGAAAGCATGAAATTATCAAAAACTAGAAAAATAAAAGATCAAGCATTTACAACAGATTTAATACATACAAAAAAAAAACAAAACGAATTGGAAGGTAAAGACAAACACTTCATAAAAAGAAATAATAACATAAAAGAAAAGAATATTAAGGGAAATAAAATGAAGAATAATATAAAGATTTGCAAAAGTTTAAGTATTATTAAAATTGTTAATACTAAAAATAAAAGAGATGAAATGAGTTGTTCGTTTCCAGTTGTTAAAGATAATGATAAAACTATGCGTGTAAAAAGAAAAAAAAAAATAAAAAAAAAAAATCTACATAATAAGCATGTTGCATCTTTTATTATGAAATTGAAAAACTGTTTAATATCTGAAGAATTATTATATGATCATAAATATTTTAAAATATTAAATTTAAAAAAAAAAAAAAATAAAAAAAAACTATAATGATAAAATCAATATACAGTATTAAAAAAAAATGCTTTAAATAAATTACCCCGCAAATTTAAAATGTGAAATAAAATAGGAAATATAATAATTAAGGGAAAAAAAAAAAAAAAAAAAAAAAAAAAAGTGAAATTTTTTAAACAATAAATATATTAGTTAAATAAACTAAAATAAAAATAGAAATAAACAAGATAAAAATATATTTCAGGCTAAAATAAATTTAAAATGAAAGTTAGTTTTTATAATTCACTAAAAATAAAAAAAAAAAAAAAAAAAAAAAAAAAATTATAAAAGTTGGAATATATTTAGACTTAATATAATTTAAATATTTTTTTTTTTTTTTTTAAAATGAATTTTTTAGTTTGTTGTCTTGTTTTATTTGTTTTTCTTTTTTTTTTTTTTTTGTTGTTTCATTATTCTTTGTTTTGTTTTTACATTTTTTAATTTGTTGTACTTTTTATTTTCCATAACTTTTTTTTATTGTTTTTATCAAATGTTTAATTATAGTAAATTTATATTTTATATGTTATAATATTATATGATTCATTTTTGTATCTTGTCTTATATAATTTTTGAAAATATTTTTTCATTTTAATTTCTCTTCATTTTTTTGCAAAGAAATAACACTAAAAATTTATATGTATAATATTTACAAAAAAAATTCCTTAAATGAAAAAGTATTTAATAATGTTTAAAATGATAAAGGAATAATATTTTAAAAATATTTTGTAACTATTAAAATAATTTGTAATATTTTTAAAAAACATAAAAAATTAAGAAAAAAAAAAAAAAAAAAACTATCAAATATTGGAATCTTCATTCACTTAAGAAAATTAATAAATCATCTAAAGAAATTTTGAAATTTTATATTTAGTAAATTTATATACATATAAAATATACTTTTTTATATAAATTATATATAATTAAATTTTTTTTTTATAATCCCAATGTATATTATTGTAAATTATAAATAAAAATTTAATTTTATAAATGAATGAAATTTTTTCATTAAAAAAAAAAAAAAAAAAAAAAA